TTTTTTTTTTTTTTTTTTTTTTTTTTGGTACTGGGGTTCAAACTTGGGTCCTCATGCTTGTGAGGCAGGTGGTGGGAACCACTAAACTAAACTCCCGGCCCCTGACTTTTTATTTCCTCTTAACTCATTTAACTCAGTAAATCTAAATAACTATGTACAGCCAGTGGCTACTATGTTGGTCAGCACAGCTCCAGGCTGTGGTCTGTCTCTGTGGCTTCAGGTAAGCCACTGAGCCTCTTGAATTCAGGGAGCCACAGAAGGTGTGGTGCCCAGTCCACTGTAGCTGTGGCAACTTTTTGCCCCTGTGCCCTGCTGCCCAGTTGAGGAGCAGGTGGAGACATTAGTCTAATCCTAGGGACTTGGGGCAAGACAGATGTCAGCCACTGGTCCTTGTCTAAACTCTTGGGGAGGGAAGATAGGGCCAGATGCTCTGGAGGCCAGAGGATAATGGGACTTTCCCCTCCTCCACAGAGCCTTGAATTGTAATGCACAGAACCAGCCTGGAAGCAGGCTGTCAGGAGTAAAGTAACAATTCTAATTTATTACAGTCACTGTACGCCAAGGCACATAAAGTCTTAACCACTCCAGGAGCAGTGCGGTATTATGCCCATTTTACTGATGAAGAAATGGAGGCACAGAGCTAGTAAGTGAGGCACCAGGATTAGAACTCATCTGTCTGCAAACCTGAACCTATAATCCTAATGCACCTAGGGAGACAGACTAAGAAGCCTGAACCAATTCAGGTCCTAGTGGAAATTAAGAAGGCTTCAAGAGTTGCCCTCCACAGCTGAGAGGGAAGCCAATTCTAGACAAAAGCAGCTAACCACACACTAGAATGTCCTTTGTCATCTCATTCTTTATCATAAACTGTCAAATAAATTTAGCATCTACCCCACAGCTCAGCAGTCTCTTTTTAATATCAAAATGACATTTTAATGATGGGCGAGCTAACTCAAGTAGGGATAATACCCAGGAAGATGTCCCAGTTTGTACTCTGGTGGTAGTATATCTTCCTCACTACCATCCATCAATTGAGAAGCAGAGCCATAAAGAGATCATTCAGTTGGTCCTTAAATAGGGCAAGTCTGCCAGGCCCAGACCCACAGGGGACCCTAA